GGGCGCTCTGGCAGGGGAGGCGCTGCCCGTCGCCTCGGTGGGAGGGTCCCGCTGCCCTCTGGGCTGACAGGGTGCACGCCAGAGTGAGTTTGCCAGCCTGGCTCCAAGTTCGTGTTTGTTAGGCTAATTGGCGCTGACTAACCTGAGAGGGTGAAGGATTTACACCTTGTTACTTGGTAGCGCTGTCATTGTTTGTGTTTTTTACTGTCAGTATTTTGTAAAGCTTTAATCCTAGGGTCCTCCTAGTCACGTGTGAATTTATATTTCATATATGAGTTTTGAAACTGTAAATATACTTACAGTTCACCTCATAAGCTGGAGAAACAGGCTGAGGTCTTGTCATCGATCTATTAAGTGTTTTTAAAATAAAATTGATTATGCCCTTCTGACTTTTACAAGCTGCATCATTCTGTACTGTATTAATTCTGCTGTCTGCACTACATTGTTTTTTAATCTGTGGGGCTTTTTTCCCCTGCTGTCCTCCAAGGTCATCGTTTAGCATCAACTACAGCCAGTCTCAAAAGTGAGACTGAAGTGGACACGAGGGAAAATGAGGTTGTTGCCCCAGACTTCACTAACAGGAATCCTCGGAACTTGGAGCAGTTGGCCGTGGCTAGGAAGGAGCGTGGCTGGAAGACAACGTGGCCAAAGCGTGAGTTCTGGCATAGGTGAGTCTGGAAGTCACTAGCAGAAATTAAGACTCCAAAAGGGAAACAAAACCAAAGCCCAGAAACCCACCAAGCAGCAGTTATACAGAATGTGCTCTTTGGGTTGCTGGATCAGTTATTGCATTAGTGATTCTTAATCAACAGGTATCCTCGTATGCTGGTTTGGGCTGGGGTAAAAATTAACTTTCGTCATAGTGGCTAGTACAGGGCTGTGTTTTGGATTTGTGCAGGGCACATGGTTGATAATGCAGAGATGTTTTTTGTTATTGCTGAGCAGAGCTTACACAGACCCAAGGCCTTTTCTGCTTCCCATACTGCCACACTGGCAGAGAAGTTGGGGGTGCGTAGGAGATTAGGAGGAGACAGCTGAGACGGGTGTCCCAAACTGACCAAAGGGATATTCCATACCATATGAGATCATGCTCAGTATATAAGGTGGGAGGAAGAAGGAGGAAGGAGGGACATCTGGAGTGATGGTGTTTGTCTTCCAAAGTAATCGTTGTGTGTGATGGGCCCTGCTTTCCTGGGGATGGCTGAACGCCTGCTGCCAATGGGAAGCAGTGAATTAATTCCTTGTTTTGTTTTGCTTGTGTGCGTGGCCTTTGCTTTCCCTATTCAACTGTTTTAATCTTGACCCATGAGTTTCCTAGCTTTTACCCTTCTGATTCTCTCCCCTATCACATAGATGTGGGAGTGAGAGAGCGGCTGTGTGGTGTTTGGCTGGCTGAGGTTAAACCATGACACTGTTCAGAGAACCGTAAACTAGCATCACCTGGAAGTCAGTATATGTAGTGAAGATCATCCCATCTTTTTTTAAGGCAACAGTAATATTACTTCAGCAACTGCTGTTTAACTTGGTATTCTCTTAGTCCTGTGCTAACAATGCATCATTGTTTTATTTGAGGCACCATAATAGTCTGTCTGGGGTTATTTAGTTTTGAGTGTTTGTTTGGTTTTCTATTTGCTTGTCCTTTGGAAAACAAGTTCATTTTAAGCTGGGGTATCAAAGTCAGTATTTTTCTCTTGACGAGAGAACCGTGTCCAGTTTGTTCATACTGAGGAATCA